ATCCCCTCCTCCTTCCTCCCTCCCTCCTCCATCCTCCACTGCCTCCCTCCCTCCCTCTCCTCCCTTCCTCCTCCCCTCCATCCTCCGCTCCTTCCCTCCATCCCTCCATCGCTCCATCTATCCATCCCTCCATCTTTATGTCAATCCCTCTCGTCAATGTTGCCCCCTCTGAACCTCCAGTCTCTCCTCGTATCTGTTCTTTCCTGTTCTGCCAATCTTCTCCGCTCCATCAACCAAAGAAAACTTCATCTGACCTGGTTCGAAGGTTGCATTGCCGCGCAGGTAATGGGATACGGAAGAAGCAAAATAAGTGAGGGAAGAGATTGAGGAGGAAACAAAAGAGGACAAAGAGACGGAGGAGGCAGCGGGAGCCTCAGCAGCAGAGGGAGAGGGAGAGGGAGAGGGAGAGGGAGAGGGAGACAAGCTCTCGAGACGAAAGGAAAGGAGCAGAGCGAGACTGTAGCAGAAGACTGAGAACATCCATGGAGCGCCAGGCAGCAGCGAGTCCTTCCACCTCCTGCATGCCCGTCACTTCATGCCTGTGCTGGTCCTATGACGATACCATTCGCTCATGAGAAACGCCATGATAGGAGGAGCCAAGAAGGCCGCCAAGGTTCGTAGGCTCTCCAGGGTACCGAGGCCGCTTCCTGACTTCCCTTTCCCAGCTGCCTGCCGGGCAAAGTGACTCACTTCTCCCCTGCTCGCTTCCGTACCTCGGCAAACAGAGAGTCCATACAGCAGGAGATCGAGAACGTCTGATGGCAGTTCAGAACTTAGAAGCACGTCCTTGTCAACCCAGCTCCACTTCTCATGTTTCCTTCTCCTTCGTATCTAGAACCCCTTCTCTCTCATTCCCTTACCGGGATGTTTATGACGGTGCTCAGGTAAATGACGACGAGCGAACGGGCAGAGCAGTAAAGAAAAGCAACAAAGATGGAACATAGCAGCGCAAATCGCAACACTACCATGCTGCTGTACCTCCTGAACGACAGTTACATGTCGTGGTCAAGGGAAGAGAGAACAGTCGATTACCTCAACGCTAGAGGGAGGAAGACTAGAGAGGAAACTCCCATCCCAAGCGAGAAGATGGTAGTGAGCGCCGCAAGACATTCAGACTAATAGGTACAGGAGATTCAGATCAAGGTGAAAATGCGCAGTGAGGGTAGTCAATTTTCAGACTATCATCACAAACAGAATGTGCAAATCGAAAGGAGAGATCCACAACAAGTACTTGCCTGACATGACTCGAATTGATTTGAAAAGTAGAGGAACAGAAGCGAGCTATAGGGAGGCTGTCAAGTCAGACACTATTGGCTTTCAGAATGACCTCTCTGCCGCTCCTGCCATGTTGATTGCAAGCGCCATGACCTAAGAAAACGCATGGCTGTCGGTTTGCAAGCGTTGAAAACAAAGGTCGTGTACCATCATCACAACATTCCTCGATTCACAATACGGTTTCCATGCATGGACCTCTTCTTCTGAGCTGCAGTCCTGGTGTTGCTGGGAAACGTTTGAGAGAGGTCAAACTTGCCGGAAACGTTAGTCAAATGACCTGATATGCTCGAGCCTTAATCGCGGGCTCTTTGAGGAAAAACGAGACGAGCAAGGGCAGACAAGCGAGCACAAATGCTGAGAAGTAGAAGCTCCTCGCCTGTTCGAAGATCATCCAAACAAAGATAGCAATGGCAGCATGCGGACTCACCTGCCCGTTTTTCCACAGAGAGGACATCAGGCCTCCAAGGGGGCTTGCAACTAGCAAGAAGACGACAGAACAAACAGAAAGCTGTTCAGAAGTGTCAAACCAGAGTCCTGATGCAGCGATTGCCCATACATATCCGTATACAGCTGTGCGCTTGTCTTGTCTTGTACAATCAGCAATATATGAGAGGATTCCAACATTCACTGCCTGAGAATGATGCATTAAGATCGGAAACTTCTCTCAATCAGTTGGCGATTACAGAACTGCTCAGTCCCGCAGCGACGTTAAGGATCACAAACCATGAGGACAAGCAGGTAGCGGTCTGTGGATCTCGTCATTCAAGATAGACGAGTTCGCGTCCTCACCAGTGCAAGATATGGAATGATGTTTCCCAACAGGCCGACCATGATCACTGTTTTTCTATCTTTCCCTTCAGACTTCAAGCAGTGCCAGGCCGCCGCTTACCTGCCATGCACATCGGAAAGCTGGCCCGCCATGAGCGACCCGACGAAAGAAAAGATTCCCTTGAGACTGCGGCGATGGAACTTAGCTTGTGCATGCGACTCTGGCGAGGGCGAACCTGTCCTGTGAAGCTTCTACCGAATATCCGGATGAGTTAGAGACGCTCATATTGGAAGAGATCACAAGGTCGGGGCAAACAGGCTGGTGGAAGCTTGATCGTACAAGGTACGGCTGGACGGGCGCTATGTATGCCCCGCACATCACAGCTAGTCCGAAGAGGGGGAACACTGAATAGGGAGAGGCCTCGGCTGCCGTTCCCGCTGAGTCTTGGCTAACATCGGCAAGAGCATGCTGCTGCTGCTGACAAACGATTAGAGTGCTGGCAGTTGAAGCAAGGATCGACGACTTCACCTCCTCCTCGCTTCTCATCCTCCTCCTGCCCCTGTGGAAAAAACCCTGTGCCTGCAATGCCCGATCAAATGCGGCCCCAACTTGTCAGTGCTGCCGTATGCCGAGTCTCTGGTACCGTGCACTGATCGGCCCGGGCCCGGCCGGGGCCGGAGTCTTGTGCAGTGCCGCGCGGCAGACGGTGCGGCCCGGCCCGGGGCCCGGGCCCGGGGCGGCGCCGGGCGGCGCGGCTCGGAAGCGGCGGCCGTCCGGGGGACCTGGACCGGACGCGGCCCGGACGCGGCACAGTACCGTTACGGTCACGCCGGGCGCGGCCGTGATCGGACTGCCGGTATGGCAGACCGTAGTATTGAACTTCGTCGGACAGTGCCACGGTCACCCCTTCGGAGGCTCAGAAGTGGCACCGGCGGAGTCAGTACTGGCCCGTTACTCAGTAGTAAGTACCGTCTGACTGTAGGCCGCCCGGCCGGGCCTGGGGCACGGCACAGTGAGGCCAGCCTCAGTGAGGCCAGTGCGGCCGCGGCCTTCCGGCGGCCCGGACTCGCGGCGGCCGGCCCGGAGCCTCACACTGACTGCCAGGCTGAGCCGCTCAGGGGGCCGCCGGGCGGGCCATCGGCGTCATCCGCCGCTCACAGAGTCCGATGATCCGTCGGACGGACTCCGGCGCCCCGGCCAGTCACTGCCTGAGTGGCCGCCCTCAGCAGGTCCCAAACAACTTTCAAGTTGAATCAGCTCCCAGCCGTCTGAACCGTGGCACCCCAGCCCCCCACTGACTGCGGCCATTTGCCGCATTTACACTGTCATATGTGGAAGCGCGGCCCATGCGGTTGGAGTAGCCTGAGGCTTTCGCGGCTGCGGCGGCTCCTTCATTTAAGTCACAGCGCGGCCCTTTACTCAAAGTGCGGCCTAGTCCATTTTTTACTCAGAGTTAAGTTAAAAATCCGATCAGTACCTGGTAGTATTTTGTTGAGGCGGGTTTACAGCCGGCCGTTTCTCCTCGCTTGTTTGCTCCGGTTTGCCTTTCTTTTTCAGTCAATAAAACAAGTTTCAAGAAAAGGTCATAAGGACCTGTCAGGACTCGTGATTGTTGTCAGACAAGTGGGAGAAGAGAGCGAGGAAGGAGAGAGCAGAGAGATAGGAGATCTCCTTCAGCTTTCACAAGGCATTCAAACTCGCCCGTAGTTTCCCGAGGGGTCAGTCTCACGGTCATGCTGATGGGAATGGATAGCAGTATCTAGCGCACGTTTCCACATCGGTCAGAACCACCAACACAGCACAGGAACCTGGGAGATTTTCTTGAGGAATGTCATCTGCGTGCTCATTCATGCGCATATGCACGAAGAAGGAGCAAAATCGATCATCATCAATCCACCTCTGTCTACAGAATGTTCTGCGAATAGTTGGAGATAAGCTCAAGGATGCTTCTCCCTTTCAAGACCAAGTTGTCGAAGAGAAGTACCATGAATTCTTCCTCCGCTCACTCATATGTCTAGGCAACCTGGGATCATCATTAACGATGGGCATATCCACCGTGTATCACATCGGGGTTCTGGTAGTGAGGTATAGAGGCAGGGGCATCACCAACTTCGACGATTATCTTTTTGCGATCCGGCTAGCAATTATGCTCATGTTGTGGGTTGGGCTCTTACTGTCCTCGCGCATGTCGGAGAAACAAAGGTACCGCATTGCCGTCTTTGTGAGGAAAGTCGTGTTCGTGAGGTTCTTCGTCTTCATGGGGGAGCTCGTGCTGATGGATCTCAACTTCGAGCGAGCCAAGCTCACATCGTTTCTCTTGACTCTCAGCTTCGTGCTTACGTCCGATTCTTACCAGGAGCACATCTTCTATACTGGCGTGCTGGCATACGCGGGACACTTTGCGAGAATTGTCATACAAAGGAATCCGCAACCGTGGACTGCCGAGATAGAAAACATTCTATTCTCAACCTTCCAGTACTTCTTTTGTATGGTGCTCTTTGCGGTCTCTCAAATCAATAGCCGGGCTAGATTCCTTCGCAGTTATAGCCAGGGCCAATCCTACAGCGCATCAAAATCCAGATAAACAAAGGCACAAATCAAACAGAAAGATATAAACTAGTTATCATGTCTCCAATTCAAAGGGTCTTGTGACCTGAAAGCACATCGATGGTCATTTTCCACAAGCTGACTTGCTGATGCTCTCCAGCCAAGTCAAGTTTGACGGTACATCTTATGACATTTTACCTACTTCGTGAGGAGAGATGCTCAACAATGACCTGTAGGACCTGTATTACCATGGCCCTGTGTTGCGACTTGCGAAAGGCAATGATCAAGTCTTAATAATAGGCTGATGTTTACGAGTCCAATTCATACAGACTTTCAGCTGCATGGTTGCAAGTCGACTGAGTCTGAGATATAATTCTATTGCAGATTGCTTTACCAACAAGTTGCACGACGTAATGCTAAAGATATAAAAGCTTGTAAAGCTCAGTGCAGATTGTTCTGCGATCCGTACGGCCATCGATCAGGCACAGCAAGGCCCTTCAAGTGGCATCAACAATCATATGAACTCTCCCTTGACATCCTCTCCGTCAAACCCGTATACGTCAGAAGGTCTGAATTCACGATCGGTCTGACAAATCACAAGCCGAGTCAGCACAGTTTTCGTAGTAACACACAAAGCGAACAAACCGAGTAGTTCATGGGCATGGAAGGCTCGACAGATCCAAACATTTTGACCTTTGAATCAACATACATTCCACCCTTGAAAAATCAAGTCATGCTAGATAGATGTCATGGCCGAGCAAATCTGCTACCTGCTCTTCCCAGCGACTCCATGCACTGATCGGAATGGTCCTCTTGACCTGTGAGCAAGAATAGTCAGGAAACCCCTGTTGACCAGACTGACTGTGATTTTTACCGAAATCTGATAAGCGTTTCCAGTATGAGGATTTCGCATGTTCAAAGTGCAGATACTGTCAATGGGTCCAAGGATGATGTCTTTCATTAGGCGCAGCGAGGACTGATGGCTCGTTACTGAGAGCTGTGGTTTGAAGTGCAAAAATCTTAAGCTTACCGCAGGTCGACCATCGACTTTTTCGACGATGTCTCCAATGGAGATCATAGATCCAATGTTTTCATTGTGCTGATCGAGTGCTTCATAGACTTGCTTCACCCTGCTAATCGTCAGAGAAAGATTCAATCACATTGTGCAAACCCACGTATATGGAGTTTTTCTATCAATCGAGAGACCGATCGCAAATTGAAGCGGAATGTGGCGAAGCAATGTCACAGAATATTTGTGCCCGTTTCTTTGTCGAAAGAAAGAAAGCTGGACCAAAGATTCTGCTGGACCAAAGATGTTCCACTCAAGGTCATCAATGGTGATGTCAGCCTATTGCTGGACATCAAATAGACTCAAGGAAATTTCAAAGAACATAAGTACCGGCATCTGATTGATACTCTCCAGGATATCGCCCCTCTCCAATACTCGGTTGATGTCCTACAAACATCATCTTCAGGTCTAACTTGAGGAGAGCAACACAATGATACCTTTCCGTTCTCATCTCGGACATCAACAATCTCCAAAATTGTGTGCGGGATGGAATTCGAAACTTTGATTCCGATCCCATACAAAGGCGGCCTGGTGAAAGAAGGCGATGGCGGTGGTGGGGTCATTGAGATTCTTTTCTTTGTAGGAATCAAAGGTGTTCTTTCGCCAATCACGATTCCAAGCTCGGTATCCAATCTGGTTTCAATTGGAATTGCAAGTTGCCGAACAATGTTTGTCGCCGTCTGAAGAGTGTCTCCTTTTGCGAAGCGAGTCAGGCCTCGTATGGGGATACAACACACCTTACCGATTTGCTCATATGCCGAAGCGATTGCAATGGTTTCTGAGCCGACTTCAGCACTCTGCGCGCCAAACTGATAAATGTTCGAAACTCATAAAACCCTAAACTAAATCTTAAGCTGCACTGGAACATATTGTGTTTAATATATTGTGGTTTCAAGCCATCAATTCATCGAGAACATGCTTTGTTCCCATTCGAATGTCAGAAGTCAGGACCCACGTACAATGCAAACACGCAATTGCAACTACTGAAATCAAGCAAGCAACCTACTCTGAAAGGATGAAGACTTCAAGTGTATGACATGCACCATCAGGGATTGGATAGGATGCTTCATCAGGACAGCACGTGTGTCGTGTCACGGTATGCCGACTACCGTATGCACTGGTGCATACCTGCACGCCTGACTTGGTAGTCTGAGTCCATGAGCGCATGTGCATTACATGCTGGCTTGATTCCTGGGTGTAGCTCTCATATGTGGTCGCCATGGCGGCTGTTCCGCGCTGGACCTATCACCACCCACCCACGATGTTGAAAGGCACCCGGGCTCCACGGCACGGGCACTTGGACGGACTAGCCATATGACCGTTACTAGTTACCGTACCGCGGCCGCGGCGGCCCGGCCGACCGGACCGTACCGTCAGCGGCGGCCCGGCGATAGACTCACGGCCGGCCCGGCCCCCGGCCCCGCCCGGCCCGGGGCGGGTTCCGGCGCAGCCGCGCGGCCGCCGCGCGGGGCGTCGACCAGACGGTACGATCCCTCAGGCCTGCCACCGTTCGTCAATGTTCACCCCGCCCACTGACGGCGGAGTCCCGGAGTCCCGGCGGCCGGGTCCGCCACGGTGGCACTCAGGCTCAGTCGCAGTGCTGCTTGCCCGGCATGCTCGGGAGTCGGACCGGCGTCTCGGACCGTCGGGTCACCACCGGCCCGGGCCGGGTCCGACCCCCGGGCGGGGCTGAGGCTCCCGGCGGAACTTCCTCCGACTGGCCCGCAGCTGGCCGCGTGACTGCGGGGAGTCACCGTGGCACCGTGGGCCGTGTGTGCCGGATTGGGAGACAGCAGTTGCCGTATGCGGCCTGTGCGACAGAGTGTCAGGGTCAAGCCTCCTCGACAGAGTCTCCTGATTGTCCTCGTACTGGTGTTTAACATTACTTTGAGTGAAACTGAGGTGAGTGGTCTCAGTCTGGTGACCATGACCGTACTCTGAGCGAACTCTGACTCGGCGAGACTTGACATAGTGAACGGCGTGGCAGGGTTATACTATGCTCTGCTTATCTTGCCATCGAATTATTCTGATTGAGTTGGTCCGATCTGGTTCTATTGAGGCGAATCAATCCTGATGTTTATCGTCACACTGACATAGATGATAGTACCGCAGCGTTCAGAATCTTGACAACACATGCAAGTTTGCCACAAGAGAACATCACACTTGAACAGAATCTGACGATTTATTCCAATCATTTCGATATGTATTTATCTGAGTATTTTAATACGCTGTGCCGTACACATGCTTCCCTATTTGCGTTCGAACGAGCAGTTTACGCCGTAGAGGTTGAGATCCCGATGGTCAGATCGAATCATGGGTCATTGCCGGGAACGCCGGAGAAGATAATGTTTCGAACTTAACATGGATCCGTTCACAATCTAAGCTAGGAAGATCCACATTTGAATTCTGAGACTTTGAATCAATCCGATCTGATATCAGTTTGATTGAGTGCCATAGTGACTTTAGCTTTCTTCTTTTATCGAGCGATAACTTTTCCCGTGTTCTACCAGATATATCCGTGTAGTGTGCTGTTGCACTGAATGATGCTGGAGATGGCAAAGCGTGATGGATCCGGACGGAGTCATCTGTATTCGTCATGTCCTGACGACTTGTATTGAGAGAATCAGAGAATGAGAGGAACAACAGCAATGGCAGCAATAGCAGCAATAGCAGCAATAGCAGCAATGGCAGCAATGGCAGCTATAGCAGCAACAAGAACAAGCACGAGAGGCTTTGAGGACACTGCTTGCTGAGATTTGGATGTCAAGATGGGGAAGGGGGGCGGTATGTCAGCGGGTCACATGACCACCAATCTTGAGAATTGAAAGGCGCGGCAGCCTAATAGGTGATTCTCAGTCCAGGCCGCCTACCGGTCTCCTCAACCCGGGCCCGCCGTGAGCTCATTTTGTAGCGTCGGGCATGTCGGTCTGGCAAGAGCTCCTACAGCTAGTGGAGAATGCTGGGCGACAGACATGGCGGTCGAAGCGCAAGCACGAGGACGAGAAGATCAACGGTACCTCTCTGTCTCCCTCCTCCTTCTTCCCTGCCTCCACTGACATCTTTGGGTCGTCCTGATTCCTGCATCTGGCACCAATCATTTCGCTAGTCACTTTGAACTGCCTTTTGCCAGCGAGTCGGATGCGGGCCAAGATCAGGAGGATCGAAGCCATGGCCGGAGATAGCCTCGACGAAGATGATCTCCATGAATGTGGTGAAATAATCATCACTCTTACCGTCACGCCTCACATTCGCAACCAGCAAGATCGCTTGTTTGTATGGTGCGCGCGGGGGTCGGCGGTAAATCCTGCGCGCAGGTATGGGAGACGAACATCCTCTTTGATTCTGTGATGGCATGCAAATCAGGTGTTATGGTGTTTGCGCCCAAAAAGAGGATTCCACGAGAGAACACTCGCCCTCCTACTCTCCTCCTCGTACAAGTTCCCAGGTTCTCTCAAAGACAAGTTTTACCGCTGGATGGCTCTGGTGTGATCGGCAGCGCTGCGAATGGAATAATGACACGAGACTTGCAGATCTTGTATGCTGAGCATCAGAGTAGTAGAGTCATTCTCAGCAGATATTTAAGCATTATTGTCCATATGCTCCGATCGTCGGCCTGCGAGTCTCGGCCATTTCTTTGCCATGTGATTCATTCTTGTGTATTCGTTCAATTGACTTGTGCCACCACGAAGATTGTTCTTCAGATCTCATCTTGTGATGCCTGGAGATCGTGGCAAACACAACTCATTGCAAATCTCTGCCAAAAACATCAAGGTTCCTCCTCCCTCTCAACTGGTTCTTCTGCAACTTTTTCTTTGTCTTGGACACAACTCCTTCGCTATGGTGTTTTTGTTCCGTTCTTGCTTCTGTTTTTTCTGTGTTTTGTACGCTTCTCAAAGTAGGAGACTGAACTTTGTCCGAATGTCCAAGGAGACCAAAGCCTATCGTTTCTCTATTACAAAATCCGAGAATGTGGACAAGTCACAAGCAGAAATGTTGCAAACTTGCATGCTCCTGGCCTTCCGTTCACAGACAACGAGAACCTGTGGATACGATCTCTCTTGCACAAGAACGTATCGACATGTGGATAACGCGCCATGGTGTTCGATTGACTTAATTTCACAGCATCTGCGTGTTCCTGTCCACGATGGCTCGCCTACTTTGAAGTCGGTTGATGGCAATGGGAACGAATCGCTGAGATTTGAAGGTTGCAAAGACAGTCAGGTAAGAGGATGAGAGGATGGCCATACTGATACTGCCAGCAATACCATCAACTTGCATTTTGCCTGGTTTGCTTTCTATATGAGCATGGCAGTGACTTCGTTTCAATGACTCAGCACCAAGCACCTCATACTTCCTCTCTCCTGTCTTGCTATCACGGGAGGATTACATCGCTTCAAATCTGTTTGTGGTCTTTGCATCACGCTCCGAAAAATGGGTAACACTTGCATCGTTTGTGAATGTGAGATTATCTTGCATAACCAAGATGCGTTCGTGCAGGGTTGATGTTCTTCAAGCTCCGTTCGGTGTCCTCATCATAGCAATTTCCAAAGGGTTGCAACAAGAGACAGATGCATGGTTTGCAAATGTGTTGAAAAAATGTACAAATCGAAAAAGGCTAGGAGTCTTGCTCAACGACTTGATCAAGTTTACCAAGACAAGTCATACCACGCCCTTTCACTGTGAGACTGCTTTTCTGCGCTTCCTCAAGGAATCTTTAGTTTCCTTCAAAGAGAGCAATTTTGACCCCGTATTTATCAGGCTTGGGATGGAAAACACTGTTTCTATGAAATCTGCAAGCTGATAACCCTTGTATTTCAAAACTCACAACAGGTTTTCTGATTGACTTGACATTTATTTGTCTGCTTCTGAAATTTGAAATCAAAAGATTGACTTTCAAGACATAAGCGTTCTCGTATTGCCCATGACAAACCGGCTGAAATCTGGAATCAGACGAGCTCACCTTTTGCGTGCCATGAGCACAATGATCCATCGATGGATGCTTTCAAAATGTTCTGTGAATTGTCACCAGAAGAATTCATTCTCTTCTACAAATCTCTCTCGCAGTCAAATTTTACTTTCAATTTGCACCTTTGGAAAACTTCTTTCAAATGGTTGGAACAAATTTGGTGGTTAGAGCTTTCTTTTAGTGACTTGTTACTATTGCAGCTCTTGTAGCATCGCATTGTCACATCGCAATTCATGATGTCGCTTTGGCTTTCTACGAGGAGGTTCTTTCTCGTTTCCGTCGAGACTCGTTGTTTCATGGTACGTGCGAAGCTTGAGGACAGCGATGGTTTTGGGTGTAGAAACTGGGAGGAAAGTGGGGAAGAATGGAGATTGGGAAACGAAGCAAGGCTATTGACGGAAGTTGCAGATGATCTGAAGCTTGTGGATATGTTGCCTGCTCGTGTCGTTATCTATCTTTCACTTGTGTCATCCGACGCAGCCACTTTGAGTAGAATGTGCTCATTACTTTCGAACTTCAAGACCGTAAGATCTCATCTGATTGTTTACTGTCACGTTCTCTTGACTGTGTTCCCATCAAACTCTTAGCTCTATCTTTGCGTATCCTTGCTTGTGTGCTCTAGTGCTTGCGGAAAGATTGGAAATGCTCTTCTTGATATTGTTTCTTGCGACTTGTATTGCCTTAGCTTTGCCTCTGTACTAAACAGGTTTCTACGCTTGCCCAGATGTCTGAGTTTTTTTTGCGTGAGTTCTACTCTGGCATCGCTGAATTCAATACAGCTTCTTGAAGAACTGAAAGGGAGAGGAAACGACAGCTTGCAATTTACTAGCACAGTTAGCGCCTTCAATGCCTGTTTGGTTGACTTTTGCAACTCTCTCTGGAAAAACAGAATCTTCCCGGCAGACAACAAGGTTGTGCGAGCCGTGTCTCAATGTCTTCATCATTTCGTTGCTGTGGTTTGAATGTTTCATGGTGTTTTTTTCCAAATTCCTGATTCCACTTCCTGAATATCCTCTCTCTTCGCATGGCCCTGAATTTTGACACAGCATGCCATGCACTCAAATTTCCCTGCAATACTGATAGGAGATGCGACCAGTCCTTTCCTGAAATCAGCTGATAGCCACAAGGTGATTGCAGCACTTTGACAGCCTGAAAGACTGACATCTGCCTAGGGGCTGCAGAGCTGCTTTGATGTTTCGTGCTCATTGCAACTGATTGGGTTCTGTGCCCAATTTCTATCAAGCCAAACATGTACACGAAGAAATGCCGAAGGTTGCTGACCATCTTGATCGTGTTTATCTACCACCTAAAGCTTCTCAGACTTCTCACTCTATGCACTGTTTCTTGTGTGCCCTTGCACATGTTGAACTTTGATTTGTTATCTTACAATAGATCTGGAAAATCAAGACAGAGCTTTTCTACTTGATTTTTTGGAAGATAATTCACTACCAGGAAGGTTGTTGATGCATTGTGCGACAATTTGACAAATTTGAAAGTTGCAGGTTTATCGCAACTGCTACACTCTAGTATCTCGTCTCTTTCAATCAGAAAATGTGCAGGATCGCAATTCATATATTAAATAAAAAGAAAAAAATATCTTACAGTCAAAAAGTTAGCATGGTGTGATTCATATCAAAATCATTTTCTTCCTCGACATTTGTAAAGGCGAGGAAAATGTTGGGATCGGGAGCTTGAACAGACATGCACGTATCATCCTGCCAGACGTCTTTGCTCCAGCTACTTGCAGTTGAGCCCTCGATGCAGGAGAACTGCACTTGGTTGCAAATGTCTTCGAAGGTCATGGTAACTGGCGGAGGAACTTGTGTCCACTCTGAGAGATGCTGCTGTGAGGCGGTGAAGGAAGCAGCAGGTAGATCGGTCGCGCTGGAATATTGGTCGCAAGATGGTGCTTTTTGAACCGGTTGAGTCGTAGCTGAAGGTTGGCCATTCTTTTTCTTCGGTCCGGGGTTAGGTGTTTTGAAAGGCCATTTCAGGATCCCAACTTTCCGGCATGCTCGTTTGATTGCCGTTGGACAAATCCCAAGCTCCTTGGATACTGTAGAAAGCGGCATATCGAAGTAGCTTTCCAGCAGTGCTCTTGTGACCACAACAGGGCCTTCGGCTTCCCCCTCATCCAGTGGTTCATGCACTTCCGTTCGCTTCCTCCTCGGGCATACAATAGCTGCTGCAATCCTTCGCTCAAGATCTTCAGGTCGTGTCCATGCCATGGTTTGTTGGGTAGAGATCTTCGTGGTCACGATAGGCGAATGGCGGCGCACACGGAATGGCCGTGGGTGCCTCTGGCTTAAAATTAGGTTTAAACTCCCAGTTACATAATGTCGGTTAGGATTGGTCATCGCAGGAAGTTGCTGACAAATGTTTTGTACCAAAAAGGCTCCGTGTCTACGACGAACCGTTGTATTATTGTATTCGGCCTGATTTGACCGTCACGAAGGAACACCGGCCATGACATCGTCCCTTGATGAGGGGTGGTGATCAATACTGTATTTGATACGGGTACTGAAACTCTAGGAATGGCTCCTACGGATGGGAATAGTCCCTGCTGACAACGGATTCTTAACGTCATAGCCTTTCAGAATGAAAAGACAGAGAAATACATCGCTTGAGCACCGGGGCGATGACTGTCTGTGCCAAACAGGTGCAAATCCCTCTTTACTGATGTGACGGAGATACAACGAATGTACTGCGTGTCCTGACTGCAGTAACGGTACGGTCGTTAGCATCTATTGTACCGCAACGTGCAGGATGGAATTCTAAGTGAGAAAACATGACGGTTATGGCCTGAAGATGCAGTGTGCAAGAAATCCAAAGAAAACATGACAAATCGGATACTCTCGTATCAATGTTTTTCAAGTCTACTCGTGCACGCCCTTTGATATATATCTTGTCATGTTTGCAACATTGTGATCAATTAAATCAACTAAAAGTGAAATGTATGTAAAAGAAGAGGGCGTTTGATGACGTTCGTAAAGGTATATCGTTGGTATGTGAAATGTATCTATTTGAGCTAAAGATCCCAGAACACTGAAAGGATATTGCAATCCGAAATCCAAGGATCCAACATCACGAGAAAAAGAAGATCTTTACAAATAGCTGCCTGTTGTGCAGCACAAAGAAAACATAGCCTGAGTAGGAGGCATTTGAAACTGGAGCTTTCTAGTGATTGATGCTTTTCAAGCATGATGAAGGCAGAACTTGCCTCATGTAAGCACACATTTTTCTGTCAACATCTTGTCGGGTATAGCCGAGCGAGATACAAAAATGTTTCCCATTTCCCTTCTGATTCCACTGCTTATTCATACTGATATCATTCTTGGAAATGATGATGCTGTCGAAACATTTGTACTTCGATTCCTATTGTAATACGCATCGTTTATGTGTTCACCGACTGCTACATTGAATGCCATCACGGACCAGGACCGACATGTACCCCTCACAGACAATTCTAAACTAACATATTTCTGCTTAGCACATGAAAGGATATCCATTACCACAGAGAATGTATCGACAACCTTGTTGAAGCTATTTTCAAGTTCCTCTTCCTTTTCCCTTCATCTTTCGCATTTTCTCTTTCTTCTCCTTTTTGTGCATCACTCATTAATAAAGGAATCAAATTCGTTATCATGTTTCTGCCGAAGCCATTCTGCTACAATACTGTTGTGATCTCATCCATTTCTATCTGTTTTCTTGACATATGAATTTAACCTGCCTGATGTCAATCAAGTGCATTCTTGAATTGTCTCTAACAGGTTTGATATAAGGTCATATCAGAACACAAATGATGACACAACGGATAGTGGCCACGTCGTCTTTTTGTTCAAGCATGCTTTTGATTGGTCCTCAGCAATGAAATTCACAAGTACCACGCAAAGATAAAATCTAGGGTGGCAATGAGTATCATTAAAGTTGTTTAGGGATCATGATGGATTCAGTTGTTTAGGGATCATGATGGATCTAAAGGATCATGATGGATTCAGAATTCACAGCAGTTTTACTTAGTGCTTGATCAGTGCTGAAATGCACGATGCATTTGTTGGAGAATGCATCATTACTGAAACCTTGCAATAACAACTTTCTGCATTGTATGTTTCTCATTCATTTGAATTCAAGGTTTACACAAGCACCAAATACAAAACTGTTCAAAGTGTTATAGCAACATTGACCAAGAGAAATATCATCTCGTACAGTAAACAGTTGCTTTGTAGCTGATTCAATACAAGAGAGATTATGATCCCATCAAAAGTACATGTCGTTGACAATCACGATGCGCCTTTGCTGAAAATTTAACAAACAACGTGTTGAAATATTTTGCGTGAAAAATTCGCTGCATCAATTATTTTTCATTTATGTACAAATCGCAAACCCCTCTTGATTTGACATGTCAGACTAAATAGCATTCTTGGTCTTCCTTGCAATCCTCAAGCTCGTGTATTCCGTAATAACTAGACAGAGACCTCGACAAGTCGGCAAAGCAGCCCTCGCGTTCCTCCTCAAAAGGATCCGATTGTAAAGGCAAGCTTGGAAAGGACCGCAAACTAGATGCCAGATGGTCTATTACAAAGATAGGAGTAGTCCAGATTTGAATTTCAGGCTGATCATCTCTTTTCTTCTTTTTGGGCCCGGGGTTTGGTGTCTTGTATGGCCATTTGGCAATTCCAAGTTTCCGGCATGCTCTTTTGATAGCTGTTGGGCAGATCCCTAGTTCAGCAGAGACTTGGAAAAGAGAGCAGTGAAAGTACGTCTGAAGTAGCTCTCTGGTGAGGATGATCGGGTCTTCGTTCTGAGAGCTCTTTTTTCTTGGACAAACAATAGCTACTTGTCGCTTCTCAATCTGTGCTTTGCGCATGTTTACGATAGTTTGGGGTTTCAGATATGGAGCTGTCAAGAGTTGCAAACTTTGGAGACAAAACGGCAACAACGGATTGAAGGAGATTGGTGTTGTTTGATGTGGAAGGTGGGAGGCAGTGCAAGGTGTGGTGTCTTGTTCGGCGTCGCGGGGAGGTTTTGAAGGGCAGGGCCCAAAAGAACAACCCTTCTCGGGAGTGAAAAGATCTGTTTTCAATAATTTTTTTCGCAGGGCGCTGACAATCAATGACAGACAACAAGGCGTCGCTGACGATCCTGGTTAATTTTAAGACATCCGCCAGCCTCTTGCGGCCAACCGTTGAGGTACACCAGTCACTCATCGGAGAGGCTCCGACACGTTACGAGAGAAAAACGGACACCCATCAATCCGCATGCGGCTGGGCACGTCGGAACAGTACCTGTATAATAGTACCGGGAGACTCATATTTCTCTGGGATATGTTGGACCGTCCGACGTGCCAACGTCGCGGGGCTTGTCACGTGCATCGATCGACCGTGCACCGTGACTGCATACTGTACTGATCGGACTCAGTCCCGCATTCCGAGCTCCGGGCCGGGGTGACCGCGGGGCCGGGCCCTGGCGGACCGTCCGATCCGACGGTCCTGGCAACTCTCAGGCCGGCGGCCCCGGGCCCGCACGGCCCTGCCAGGCAGCCTGAGGCCGCGCTACGGCCACTGGCACTGGCCGCCCTGGGCCGCAGTGCCGTGAACGCCGGTCCGATCATGGCATCGGATCAGCGGACTCGGGATGTTCGAGTGTCGCGGCGGCACTCAGACGCCGGGCGGCCAGGCGCTGAGCGGCGCCAGGCCAAGTTACTGAGCGAAGCGGGCAGCTTAGGCTTTCAAGCGGTTATCCGTGTGTTTAGCGCCGGGCATGTCATGGCCAGTGGCCGGGCAATCCGAGCCATGGCCCATGGCCCCCGCATAGCATACCTGGCCGGCCTCATGTTCCAGAGCACGCACAGGACATACTGTTTTAGGAGCGAATGTTTTGCTTGAAATGATTTGAAAGAAAAAGCACGGTATGATACTATGATACTCCAACTAAGCTCTCCACTGACTTTCAAACGAATGAAAAAGGCTGCAGATCTGTGCCATGGTTCAAGTTTGCAATCAGGATTTGAGGGCTTATTTCATCATGACTGAAAATTGTTCATTTAGTGACTGAATACAGCATTCTCACAACTAGCTAACACCCATCCGATTCATCGGCTTCTGGCTGATAGAACGTTGTCTTGCATTTGCACACGTCTCTTAGAAAAGAGATCGTATCTGCTGCGAATGGATCATAATCTAGCACTCCCGACGAAGTTCCAAGAAAATTTGATTGAGGTTCTATTATAGAGTCATGCCGCATTTGATGTTGAGAGATGTTGCCCTCGTTAACATCTGTTGGAGGGGGTTTGCGACTCGGGTCCTTTTGAGTGGTGGTGACATCTTTGAAGCTGGAACAAGTCAGCTCCTTGTTTCCAATATTTGTTGACGATGCTTCTTTTTCTGAATCTATTTCAGCTTTCTCGGTCTGACTTGTCGATCTATTTTGCTTTCCGGCATCATTTGGTTTCTTTTTTGGGCCTGGATTTGGCGTTTTGAATGGCCATTTAGCAATTCCAAGCTTTCTGCAGGCTCGTTTGATTGCAGTTGGACAGATTCCAAGCTGTTCTGAGACTGAAGACAAAGAGCAGTGAAAGTAGCTTTCCAAAAGTTCACGTGTCAGCACAACTGGCTCGTCTTGTTGCGGAGCGTCCCCTTCTTTCTTCTTCCTGGGACAGACTAGTGCTACACTTTTTCTCTTTGACTTCTCGTCCATTTGTATGGACAAACAGCTTGTAAACCGCTTTCTATGCGATGGTATGTCTTGTTGACGATGCAAGGGATGAAGCAGGGGCTGATGGGGAGGAGATGGTTGGGGCAGCAAAGAGGTGCCTAGGGGGGCAGTGAGGGCAATTGTTGTCAAGCGAAGGGGCCGGATGACAGGCGAGGAGAGAGGAAGCACAGGGATAAGTTTTACTCAACGCCCGACTCCTTCCAAATGAGCAAATGAGCGGTGCAGGCGGCCACCAAATAGTCGGTTTGGATAAGGGGATGTTGTCATGGACCGTCAGCTCTTTCACTGCACACGGGACTTAGCTGACGTGTCACGGCGCTCTGACCCATTCAACGGGGCGCAAGGTACTGCACATCTCAAAGTCCGGTCCGTAAAATAGTTGTAGAAGATATTAGCTATAACGACACAAAACCTAAAATTTCAAAGAAATGTATTTATGGCGCGTGATAAACTTGATTAATAATTTCTAAACTCGCCATTGCTCGGCATTATTCAAGGTCATGGTACAATGCCAATGCATCGTCAGGGTCGCACAAGCCCTGACGCAGAAGCCTGCATTCAGTAAGAAAATAAAGATAAAAAGAAGCGTTTAACCTTTTGATTCGTTCTTTGCGCTGCTCGTGTGAAGGGCTCTTTGCTTCACTGTACGAATTGATGACTTCTTCTAGCAAGCAGACATCTTCAATCGTCTTTAGACCACTGTCGACATCTTCGTTGTTGAGCTGTTCTTCATACGACTCAAGAAACTTCACAGTTTGTGCTCTCGTTTTGTCATCCATATCCAAGGTTCGCAAGGTTTCTGCTTGTCAGTGAATCACTATGGGATAGAAATGCTTTGCAATGTAAGATGGTTGGATCTTACCCCACTGTTGTGTAAAAGAAGGCCTCGATTTTCTTTGAATCTCATGCCTTCTCCTCGCAGGAGGGCAGCTTTTTGCAAGAGATAGAGACTCTGCAAAAAGAAAAAACATTGTCAAAGGTTTTCTTAGGCTGCATCAACTGAAATCCAACCTTGAGGTATCGGCGTTGTTGGAGCTGACACTGCACAGAACGATGGAACCTTCTCAACGATGACCTCAGGGTCAATTTGAGAGTATATAAGCAAACAGTCTCGTTCTTGAGTTAGTTGCTCTACACCTGCATTGCGTCAGATACTAGTCTAGAGAGAATGAGAACACCTGTACCAGGTTTGCAATTGGCGATGTTTCCCTCAGAGACAAAGGAGCAAAACTTGGATTTGTTGAAGTTACGATGCGAAGAGGGGCAGAGAAATGGTGTCTGCTGTTCTTGCCTGCATACAATCCTACCACACTCTAAACAAATATGTAGATTGTCTTCGGGGATGTTGTCCATTTCTGAATTCCTATTATTTTCTTTTTGTCTGGTGGATTTCAATCGAATTCTAGAACCTCCAAGATTTATAAATTGCTGACGTGAATCTGTTTTCACTTCATCCTCCCCTCCACCCCGAAGCAGCTCACGATACAATTGCTTTGTTACATTTGTTTTGGTGGCATGGCCCTGCCCTTGACTCCACAAACCTCCAAAATGTCTTGCAAGCTTTTGAAGTCTTCGATTTGATTTTTTTCGAAGATTTTTCTCTGATTTTCTGTTTGCCTGTACTTCTGGAAGGGAAATATTTCTCAACTCATCTTCTATTGCCATGTCAACATCTTCATCGTGCAACGATCGTATTGCAGCATCCAATGACATTGCTTGATCTTGGGTTTTCAGGCTGGAGATTGGACCAGGTTCAAAATTTGGAGAGGGGAATAATCGCCAACAGCTCTGTTTTTTAGAGAAGTGATACGTGTGCCTATTTCCATCCATTAGCAACATGAAACGAATGCTCAGCCCACCTGTATGCCCATTCCCACTCTTCTCCTGACACGTACCACATGCTCTTATCTCCAACAGCAGCAGCAGGCAGCTGGACAAGGGTCACTTCAACCAGTTAAGGAAGAGTAGGTACCGAATGACTCGAAGAGTTGAAGTGAACAGTCTTTGATCCCATTCTACTTGATTCAACTTGAAATGGACAATAATCAAAAAACCTGCACCATAAAAGAGTCGGCATGGATAGTGTAATGTCATCACACATCGTACATATCGTTAGAAACAATACAAGCTTTCACAGCATAGGCTGTCTGCATGATTCGAACATCTGCAGCGACTCCAGGCCGAGTCACTCGGGTGTATTTATGAAAACTCCGAATGTTGTCGAGAGTGTTGTTGCCTAACTTTCTCGCTACCCAGAAGTCGATTATGACAAGTATGTCCTCTTCTTTACAGTGAAAGTCGTCACGAAGAAAGTGTAGGAAACCGAGCAAGTTTCCAACATCCAACCCATCACCACCATGATGCATAACATTCGAGGCATCAAGAACAAGCAGATATTTTCCCTTTTTTGAATGCTCGTTTTGATCATCTGTTTGCAAGCTTTCTTCTCTTTTCGGATGTTCTAGACAGAACATGCAAGTGAGGTTTTGGTCTGCAAAACTAGGTTGGACATACCTTTATTTGGCTTGTACACTCGCAAAGGAGCGCGAAAAACAGACCTGCAGTGCTTTTGCTCTAAGTGAGCTAGAGTTAAAAATCATCGCAATCAACCTGTTTAAGTTGAACATCGAAACGAAATATTCTGATGCCTTCTTTCTTCTGCTACGCTTGGTTCCGAACCCTCGCAGTTGCAAGTTCATTGAAATGAAAGGATCGAGGTTCCCGGTATTAAGGTGTGACATATACTCGCCAGCTTGCATCGGCTCAATCATTCTTTGAGTAACGGAATGAAGCAAAACAAATCGCAACAGCAGAGAACTCCTTCCAGACATAAGAAGGCACAAAATAACAAAGCAGGAAGTTTTGATATTGAACGTTTAGTCTATGGTGTCATTGTTGGCGTATAAAATACAGACCAAATTCACATGAATGAAACTTTGCTTGATATGCTGTTCTAGCACACACTGTGTCACATCAGCCGGAGTACAAAGAGATCCGCCCCAAGCCATCGCGCACACGAAGCCACCCCGAACCTGTAAAAGTAAAAAAAGAACCGCCGAATTTGAGGCGAAACCCTCATAATGAATGATCGGATTATGCAAAGACCGTACCGGGTAGGGCGCAGGAAGGGTTTCAAGGGATTAGGGCCGATTCACGCCGAGGCCAAATGGTCGAGATGCCCAGTACTTTTAAATTCATTTCAAAAATACATGTTTTTAAAGCTGAAATTATCATAAGCTCTAGCCTAGTAGCCTCCATCCTAGTTTAGGGTTTAGGGTTTAGGGTTTAGGGTTTAGGGTTTAGGGTTTAGGGTTTAGGGTTTAGGGTTTAGGGTTTAGGGTTTAGGGTTTAGGGGTTTAGGGTTTAGGGTTAGGGTTTAGGGTTTAGGGTTTAGGGTTAGGGTTAGGGTTTAGGGTTTAGGGTCGTGTAGGAC